ATATGTATTATTAGATACATATATGTATATATGTATATGTATTTTTGATAACTATATAATAAATCCACTTAAATTACTTTAAATTTCGTAAAATATAAAATTTAATAAACAAAAAAATATATATAAAAATAAAAACTTAAAACAAATCGAACATAAAACAAAACCCAAACTAGAAGGAAAAGTACCGAGTGGTGCATTGGGTGGCCCAAAAGAGTTTCTTTCGCATGCCATAGTTCAAATAGATGGAGCTCAGTGGAATTTCGCGTCTCAGGCACCAGGAGATGGTTATGCGTGGATCCAGATAGAAGAAGGTGGCCTCAACCAGAGGCTTTGTCTGCAATCGAATGGAGCGCAGTTTGCGCTGCTCCGCCGCGCTGTTCCGGGGAATGGCACAGGGTCGCTTCAGGGCTGGCAAGGGATCGATACGGCGATGGCGAAAGCCGCAGTGCATGTGGACCGCCTTGAGGGCTTTGTTGTAGGCCGTCAGCTGCTCGCAGAGCGTGGCGCTCAGTGGAATCTTGATGAGTCGATCCTCCAGCAGCCGCGAGGCATTGCAGATGCGAAACACACTCGACGTTAGGCCATCCATCAGAAAGTCGAGGTGTTCGTTCAATGTCTCGGTGTTTAGCTCCTCGAAGACCAGCTCGTCGGGCTGCTTGCCGCAAATGAAGACGCTCAGATTGTAAAAGATCCCGGGCGGAATGCTGCTCCTCTTGTACTCGCGCTGCCGGCAGTCCCTGTTGCCGGCCAGCAGCTGCAGCACGTTGCGCTGCCCGCCCAGGCGGGGGCAGAGCTTGATGTTCTGCACGCAGAGGCCGCAGACCGTCGTCTCGGCCGGCACCTCTTCGGCGTCGCAGCTCATGGCCAGCCGGTCGATGCAGTAGAGGGCGACGCTGCGCTGCCGCACCAGCCAGTTCTCCGAGGACTGAAGGGTCTGGTACTCGTTGCGTATGTGGTGGAGATGCTGCTGGAGGCGACGGGCCGTGTCCAGCAGGTCGCGACGAGGTGGACGCGAGCGACGGGAGCTCTCGTTGCGCGGATAGGCGTGGTGCATGCAGCCCGTGACGATGTCATTCCAGGCGTAGACCCACCTAACGGTGCGATCGTGCACCACCGCTGCCCACAGATGGCCGCAAGGCGGCGCCGGCGGCTCCTCGTTCTCATCGCAATTGATCACAACATCTTCGGGCAGCACTCGGGGCCGGATCGTGCCCATGGTCGTGCTGAAGCCATGGCGTGGACAGCAGAGGCCAGGCCGACTGATGCGAAACTGAGTGATGCGACGGCTCTCCCCATCGACCAGGCAATAGCCATAGAGCTTGTTCTCCTCCGCGATGCGCTCCTTCTCGTCCTCGCGCTGGCACTCCAGATACTGGCTGATGTCGCTGAAATTGCATAGCTCGAAGCACGTGATGTAGCGGCGCTGCTCCTCGCTCAGGCAGCTGCGGAACTCGTTGAAGAAGTTCTGATTGAACTCCCGCATCTGCACGAAGGCGGTCTTCATCAGCTTCGCATAGAACGTGGCCACCTCCTCGGCCTGCTCGGTCAGCTCAATGGGGCAGTTGTCGTAGTAGAACTTCACGTCCTCTGGCAATCGCTCGTGGTCAGCGGGAAAGCACGGCCCATTGTGCCTCAGTGTCTGCCATTTGGGCTTTATGCAGATGGGCTTCTCAGCCACTGACTGCCTTGGCCGGAGGCGACTCTGCCAGTGGCCCTTCAAGTTGCGGTACTTCAGCGGCACGAACTGGCAGCGCACTTTCGGTCCTCCTACATGGGGCTTCTTGTCCACGTCCAATTCCGTTGGCTCCCGATAAGCATCACTATAGATGTCTGACATGTCGAACGAAATGAGTACGAAGTTTTCTTTATGATAAAAAGGAATTTTTTTTTATTTTTTACTTTGACTCTATGGAAAATGTGAATTCAGGGTTCAATTTCAATTTGACATTAACATAGGACGACAACAAATATTTGTATATGGTATACTATAAATCAAACTGATGTCAACAACAATATATTGTGTTGTACAGCATATTTGAAGTGAACTGATATTATCCCAAACTTTTTATAATTTATTTTAAATTGTTTTTTAATTGATAGCTGCATTGGAAAAATGAAAACATTATATACGTTTTTTTTTTTTATTATTATTTTATTAAAATTTAAAAATGATAAAAAATAATAAAATTTCACTTACATTATGTAAATACATTTATGTAAATGCGTTTGCCAACTGATATGCATCATTTAATTTACATTTAATATTTTGTGCAGTTTTTAGCATCAGCGTAAATCAATTTAAATTTAATATATACGACTAAAAAATTTGTTGTTTCAATACTTTCAACTATGACTGTAATTTATTGATAAGCATCAACAGTCAGTGGAATAAAAATATTACAACTTTTACATTATTGAAAGATTTTTATAGCATAAATAATATAATATTAAAGAAATAATCAATAGTCAGGTTCTTGGTATTTAAATGCCAATCCACCATTTTATTAAATAACTAAACTTAAGAATCGTTTCATAATAAGACTGTACATATAATATATATAATAAAAATAAAAAAGCATTTACAAAGTAAAGATATTAAAACAATAACCTTCTCTGTTCCTTAATTCATTTATTGAAAATTCTCCAAAAATGGCTAAATATCTTTAGTTCATGCTATATGTTAAATTATTTCAACAATAAGAAAATAAAATTCCCATCGATATTTGAAGTTGGACTATAAGTGCAGGATCGCTCTCTTTCAGCAATCGCTCTACATGAGGATGTTAAATTGAATATTGTGAGCCTTAAGTCATCACACTCATCAAATTTAACTCTCATTTCTCTAGATACGCGGAAAACTCTTCAAAAACAGAGTAACACTTTCTTTGGCACATTCATATGAAACAAAAAACATATCTATCCATATACAAATATTTATATATATTTATATGAAATCAAAGTCAGAAAGTCAGTCACTTCACAGCCTGATGAATATGTTCACACTCACCCAGGCAATCTTTAAAATTTCTGTATTTCTCTCTCTGCAGGAATGTTCAGTTGTGAGGCATGGCTGCGACTGATCCAGCAACACGTGGGCACCAGAGCCTGCGGCCCACGGCCATGCAAGCGGTTGATCCGGTGCTACGATTGCAGCAGCTTCTCCAGCTTCGATGCGAGCTGCAGACGTGAGATGCGCTCGAATGCCCATGCCCATATGAGCCAACGCACGATGGGCGACAATGGTCGCAAGTCTCTGATGGAATCGGCCAACTCGGAGAGGCCGAGCTTCGGGGGGAGCAGGACGCGCAGGTATCTCGGCTATACCATCGTGCTGGGCAGCCTCTGCAGCACCGTGCTGTGGGCCGTCTATGAGCTGGGCAAGCCCGAGCAAGATCAGTTCGGGCGCAGCATCGAGGATGAGCTGAGCCCACTGCCAGTGCTGCAGCAGTATCTGCAGCGGATGTGGCACTCGCTGCACTACTACCAGAAGATGCTGGAGGAGCCGCTGACCACCAAGCTGCTGCCGGACGTGCTCTGTCCGCCGTACATACAGCCGCCCTACACTCTGGTCCTCGAGATGCGCGACATCCTCGTGCATCCCGATTGGACGTACCAGACGGGCTGGCGCTTCAAGAAGCGACCCGGCGTCGATCACTTTCTGCGGCAGTGCAGCAAACACTTTGAGATCATTGTCTATACGGCCGAGCAGGGCATGACAGCGTTTCCCATTCTGGACGCACTCGATCCGAACGGCTATATACGCTATCGTCTGGTGCGCGGCGCCACCCAGCTGCTGGACGGGCAGCACATCAAGAACCTGAACCATCTCAATCGCAACCTGCGACGCGTCATTGTCGTCGACTGGGATCGCCGTGCTGTTCCACTGCATCCGGACAACATCTTTGCCATTACTCGCTGGGTGGGCAACGACGACGATGTGCAGCTCTTCGATCTGGCTGCATTCCTGGAACTCATTGCCGAGCACAAGGTGGGTTTGACTGAATTCCTTGCCAATAATCCTTATCGATAAATGTTTTTTCTCTCTGTTCACATCTCTCCCTCTCTCTCTTTAGATGGATGATGTTCGTGAGGTTTTGCACTATTATCGCCAGTTCGAGGATCCCATTGAGCAGTTCAAGGAGAATCAGCGCAAACTGCTCGAATTGAAACAGGAGAAGCCAGACTCCGCAGCAAAGGCCTTAAAATAAAATATTGCTAAGAGAAATTTTTCTACTTCAAGTGAAATTTTTCTATTTTTTTTTTTTTTCAAGTTTTTAAAATTATGTGTTGTGTGCGTAAGGTTTTTTATTACAATAAATATTCCAATACATATTTTTAAAGCAGCAATTAATATACATATATGAATATTTTGAAAGATCTAGCTGGTGGATTCCATTTTAAAATTATCACTTTTATACTATATGTATGTATAATTTAAGAAGGCAATCTCTTTTGTTTTATGTATATAATTTTATGAAATAAGTTTCATATTTTGAAAATATCTTTTTTGTTTGATCAAGGGTTGTAACAATATGCCTTAAAAGTATAAGATTGGCAAATTCACGATTTTAATGCAAATGTCCATACCTAGACGATCTATAGCTATATATAGTCCTAAACTTTCACTAATACTAATATATATTTATCGTACTACTGCTTAGAATATACATAGAATTTTTTAAATAGTTTTATTAGAACAATTATTACATAGTTCTTAATAAATACTAAGTAAAATCTAAAACTAATGAAACTGATTTCCATTCTTGACTATTAATTCTATACTTATGCTAATCATTCCTAATCGATGCTAAAGAAACATTAAAGTTTCAGCAAAATACCACAAAAAATACCAAATAAATATAGATTAAAAATACCAGAAACTGTGACGTTGTTCATTATGCAAATGTTCGCAGGCTTAAAATGCACAAATTGAATCAATTGATGCCGCATCCAATGGCAGAGCGATGCAATTGCAGCTGAAGATGGGCAGCTGAACAGGTGGACCGCTGGACAGATGGACCATCCAAGTGTCCACTTGGAGAGATGGGCCAGGGAAGCATTCGGTGTTATTATTTAAATGGCGCATTATCAGTGGCCAGCAGAGGCCTGGCCAGTCAGCTCGTCGAATTGTCATAAACAATCAAAATCCATTTAAAATCGTACATGCAATTTGGCTCGACCTGACACGGCCACAAGGATGGATGCGAGAGGAGCAGGAGGCGTAGCAGGTGGAGGAGTTGATGGTGGTTGCACAGCCAACGACAGCATCAACGCCTCGTCAAGTGGCGTGGGCGGGGCTGTGGGCGGCCATTGGCAACTGGCAACTGGCAACTGGCAACTGGCAACTGGCAGTGCAGCAGCTGCCTCTACCTCTGTCTCTGCCGTGAGTCTCGCTGTGTGCGTCCGGGCCATTTGGCCGGACTGCTGTGTATCGTTGATATGATAATTGGCATGAGGCAATAATCCACTTGGATACGTTTACGTTGACAATCGTTTATATCGCAATCAGTGTCATGCCGTTCTGCGTCCTGGATTGTTGTTCCAACTGCTGCTGCTGCTGCTGCCACTGCTGCTGCTGCTGCTGTTGAGTCTCCATAAAGTATAATTTCCAGCCATGCTCGTTGTCGACCTCAACGACAAGGACAACGACGACATATTAAATAACAATGAACTGCAATTGCCCAGCGAGTCTCGTAATTCGTTTGTAATGCGTGCAGACGCACAGATTTTGAGTAGCACTTGCTCTGCTGCCCGTTGTCCTGCGCATTCAGTTAGCCTGCAAACACCCCAGCCCCGCCCCAACCCAGCCACTTGCTGTGGCCCTGGCTGTGGCACTGCCAGTGCTTTGTTTTATGTGCCCAGCCGGCGATTGTCTCGCAGATTGCCTATAATTTCTGATTTCCAAGTTTAATTCGTCGACTCTTAAATTTAATCGCAGTGCCACAAAGCCACAATACTCAAACTCGAAGAAATATTCATGGTTGCATTAGGTAAATTTTTATCTCATTCAATGTTGATTATTATAGTTTTTATTTTTATTTGAAGTAAGTGCCATTACAGTCTGAGAGCATAAATTGAGTCATTACCTTATTTTCCATCATCCGCACTTTGCCTTGTCGCAGCTCTTCGAGACATGCTGCAGGCAATTAGCTGAGACGTCAGCACAGGTGACAACGATTATGGAATATTTTATAAAAATGCTGGACAAATCAGTTGAGCTAAACAGACCAGGTTCCCTATGAAAATAATATAAGGGCCGTCACACATGCATAGAGTGCAGGAGGAAGGCCCGAGCTGCCCTTCGCAGGACACTTTGCGAATGCAAAATGCTAAATTTATGCGCAGCGGTAGCTGGAGGGTGGCAGGAGGCGGCAGCAGGAGGCGGCAGCAGGAGGCGGCAGCAGGAGGCGGCAGAAGAGCGCCGAGCAGTACAGGTCACGAGTATATCCGGCTGCAAGTAGCTCCACTTTCACGCTTGACCTCACTCGCAGCCTGCTTAGCCCCTTGACCACAGTCAGATATCCCAGTGAGTCTGTGTGTGCGTGTGTGTGTGTGTGTGTGTGCCTCCTATAGGAGGGTCTGTGCGCTTTTTATGAGCGACGACACCACTTGCGATGAAAGCATTTCCGCATCCGCCAGGGCTTCCGAGCCAAGCCAAACCAAACCAAACCAAGCTCAGCCCAGCCCAGCAGCACCAAGTGAGACTCGGCTCAAGCCAACCGCATGGAGTCCACTTTAATTTTTGTTTTGTTTATAATTTACGCGACACAACATCAATTAAGTGCTTGGCCGGAAAAGCGCATACCTGCACCTGAAAAAAGCACCCATAAATTGTCGCCCTAAAGTGGCGAGCGCACCCGCCACTCCCACCCAGCCGAGCCGCTCACCTTGCTGGCCAACAGTTGGTTCGGTCCACCAGCTGCATTGGCCGGGCTTAAATAGCTGTTGCCATTTTATATGCGTGCTCTCTTATGCCATACACAAATCATTTCACGAAATTCATACAGCGCATTGTCCACAGATTCGCGATTTTAAGAACCAAAAAGATATATACACGAATATACAGAGTCTATATATAGTCTATATATTTAACTAGCTTAACTGAGTTTTTGCAGGGCTGACAGTTTATCAATTTCTTTTGGGTTACACAATTTACTTTTAGTAATTACTTTAAGACTTGAAGCCGACTGCCTCATAGAAAATCAATTAACAACTCTTGCTTCTCGTTTTAGCCAAAAAACAACAATGGCCAAGGACAGCTGAGCGGCGAGCTGCCTAATTGGAATTAACAATAGAATTTATGGGCCAAGTTGGTGTGATTTGTTGAAGTGACATTACGATGCGGTAAACGAGCGACGCCAGCCAGCAAGTGCTCCACAGAGTGGCAGAGAGGGGCGAGGGGGGAGGCAGTGGGCGGGCCAGAGTCAAGATGGGGCCTCGGCCAGGCAGCCAAAGTGAGTCACATTTGCAGACGCAATTTGTTACAAGCGAAAAAGGACCGAAAGGACATTAAACAGCAGCATAAACAAAACCCCAGACGGACCCTCAACCAAACACTCGACTCCATTCACAGCTGCCCGAACATCGTTCCGTAAATTAACCTGACTGAAAGCATTTGCCATCATGCCTAATACGAGTAGTTCTCTCATAAAACTGACAACCACTGCGCACCACCCAGACTGACTGGGCTGACCAAGGCGGGGCAGGACACTTGTATAAATTGATAAGCACAGCTATCGGCTGTAGGTCTCTCCCTTGGAATTTCAATTTCAATTGAAATAATTTTTTTCACTTGAAATTATGAAGATTTGCAATTATGAAAGTGAATATGTGAGTAATGAAGAGAGGAGCATATTTTGCTAAGTGTGATAGGCAATTTGAATTGATCTCAACTGGTTGAATCAATATATCTACTCAGAATCATGTCGAGAAATGAAAAAGAGGACAGGCTGAAAGGCATGGAAATAATAAATAATTGATAATTAATCTTAATATAATTAAATTTTCATTTTATTATTTATTATATATTCGTACTTTGAATAATTCTTAATAATAGCTTTAGAAGAAAATATGTTAAATTACAAATCAATAAGCAAAGATTTCTTACTCGCGGTCCCTTGCTCTCTCCCTCCTCGCTGTGCATGCTCAATCGCTCTCAGCGCCTCGCAAGTTTAGCCTATTTAAGGCTAGATCTAGCCACTGAAAGTGAATATGGGATGGAATAGCCAGAAATTAAGGCAGACTCTGCAGAGATCATAGTCTTTAAGAGAATAAATGATGAAGAGATGCCATTTAATAATTATATATATTTATTTAAATAAGTTATTTCAACATTGAGCATTATCATGCATACATATATTCTTGAGCAGCTTAATGATATAATCCGATTGAATTATGCGTGTTTTATTGCCTATGTACTCATCTATTCGAATGTGTGTCTGTCTCTCAGTCTCTTTGCCAGACTCTCCATAACAACAGACGATCACTTGAGTTGTCTATGTATGCAGCAGAGTTCATTTCGTATTAATACTTGAGTAAAACGAAGTCCGAATGCTCGCAGCAGTAGAGAGAGCTCCCATTGGTCGATTGCAACGATCTCTACCTGGCGCCGAGCTCAACAGTTGAGAGAATGGGACTGTGAGTCGCCCTATATAAAGGGCTGCTGCTGCAGCATTTCTTCAGTCGCCCAGGCCCGGTGGGAGTCACTAGTTCAGTGCAGTAAAGTGAAGTGGGAAGTGTGTGATCGTTCAGCTAAGCTTACTTAGAGGAAATACTTGGAGAAAAAACTTTGAGAAATATTTTGAAGACATTTTTGGAGGAAATACATAGAGCAGGAATATTTTAGACAAATTACTTAGACGAAATACTTAGAAGACGAACTTAGAGAAAATAGTTGGACGAAACACATAGACTAAGCACTTAGAGAAAATACTTAGACATGCCAATTACATTATACTTAGCATATTAATTCGGATTATATTCACAGATTGTATAACAACTCCCTCCCACTCTCATAAATTAAATACATTAAGAATAAATGTATTGTAGTTTCTTTATAATTGATTGTAATTTATAAAAGCCCCTCTGCCTCTCCCTGCTCTACTCTCTAAATCGCATTGCTATCAATTGCTCAATTGATGGTGGGCTGCGGCTATAAATCTATAAATCTATAGAGTGAAGTACTTGATGCTGCACGAATTTTCCGCTTATCGAATGCA